CCCCCCCCCCCCCCTCTATTCAAAAACACTCGATCTCTGATGACTTTCATGCAGCCTTTTGGAGGTCCGGCCCAACGATTTCCTACATCGGCCCTCGGAGCAGCACAGGTTCCCAGAGCAGAGGCTGGCTTAAAGCTATGAAGAGAGATCCTGCTGTAACCGGCTGATGAACGGAGAGGCACACCGGAGCTGTCGCAGCAGTGGTTCGCCACCGTTTGAATCCTGCGTCCGTCAGCTCAGGCAGTGTTAATGATCACTTGAGTGTCTTTGACGTTAGCCCCCTGAAAAAGAAGATGCATGACGAGAGAGAGTCCGGGAAACTGATTTTGTCCGATGATCGTGAAGTTATTCGGCCCCTCTCCCCTTCCAGGGAAACCTCAGTCCTTCCTTTGGAAGAAGGATGTAGAGCGGGCACCTGTATCCATTTCCAATCCAAACAGAGTGAAACCACACTAATAGTTTAAAATTAAAAACGGGTATTCCAAGTTGCTTATTTGATGTAAAAGAATTGGGGGAGCTTGTTCACGTGCACTTTGAAATAGCTTCAGAGGTCCATTTTGCTTCATTAAAACAATGTTCCAGCACACAAAGCCAAGCAACAGCTAGACAGCAAACCCTGGCAAACATCAACATGGACAGTCTTGACGAACAAAAGATATTCACTGAAAAAAAGAAAAAAAAAAGAAAAAAAAAGATGTTGGTACTATGTAACTGTTGAAAGCTTAATGATTGAGCAAAGAGAGAGAGAGGGGGAAAAGATGTACATCCATAAGCTTGGAATGAACAGACAGGACACCAACTAGTGATCATTATTGAGCTGCTGGGTTGCCCTGAGAGGCTGCCGGAGAGTTAAAGGTGTTCAGACTCATTTGTGTGTTTATCCAACATGAGATTTAGCCAACTGGAATGCTTAACTCGATTTTCTCTGGGAATGTTCATGGCCTTCGCTGTCATATCACATTTGCTCGTCTCACCAGTGAGTTTGGTAGGATAAAAGCTACTTTTTAATGCGCGTTTGATCTGTGAGGTTCGCTCCCAATCAATGCCGGTTGATAATAAATTAGCGGAACGTGAATTTGCTTGGTGATGAAAGGAGGACAAAAAGGGGGTCGGACTGGTCACAAACCCGACAGTCTAATTCAGAACGACTCAAAGCAACTCAGTAAATTGATCAGATTTGGTGCCTCCGTCCGTTCAAGTTAAACACAACATAAAAGGTTCATCTCCTACTTGCATATAGCATTATATCTCCAGAGCATCGTCCCATCGAAAACTTAATTCTCTTAGTATTTTACCTACATTAGATACTATGTACAGACTCACAAAGTGGTATTTACAAAGTTTGTCCACAAGGGGGTGATCCAGGCCTGCATGAGGGGTGAGCATGCACCATGTCAACAGAAATGTGATATGATATGTAGTGATATAGTAGTGATAAACCTTGCTTATATGGCTGGTGTTAAAAGTGATATCAATGTGAAAAAAAACGGGAGGAATTTATTCGTGTAAATTAAGTTTAAAAATATTCTTTCGTGATTTTTTTTCTCTCTGCCCTGCTTTAAGAGCATCTTAAGGATTTCCTTCCAAAAACAAGACATCTTTACAATTATACTCTGCTGCCATCTTTAGAAGATTAACTTTTCCCTGAAAGAAATAAACCCTACGGTTAAGGCTGATATTTATCAATAGATTTTTTTTATTTGTTTCTTTTTTCTATCAAAGATTAATCTGTATTTAAAAATGTATTTACGATCTCTTCTTATTTGTATGATCACATGAAGCTTGTTAAATCTTTTATCTCTTAGCTTCCTTATGCTGTCATTCATTATGATTACAAATCACAGTGATGCCTAGAGCTTTAAAAACAATCTCTGTCTCCTGATTGTAAGCTTACGCCACACACACCATAAAAAGTACACAATATCATCAGACAAACTATCCCTGAGGCAACAGCTGGCAGCTGGTTTCTATCCAACTATCTAGCTCTGTCTTAGCAGCAATCTAACCAGCCGAAAAAAAAAAAAAAAAAAAAAAAAAAACGTTTTTGGATGATCATCGTCCACAAACATGACGTTCTGTTCGAGTTTGTCAGTTTACAAACTTCACAGGTCCAAAATGAGTAAGTCCAACAGAGATGTGCTTCGTTGCACTATGCCATCAGTCAGAACCCGTGCGTTCACCCCCTTGTGGTCCATCAATACTCTCACACACTGTACATATATAGCAAAAATAGATAAGACTCCTCGTTTATGTCTCAGTGCGTGTGCATTCCTCATGAAAGCTGACGCACACCTAACTGAGGGAGGGGCCTTAAGTTCCTCTACATTATTCAACACTCTCAGAAGTATTCGTTTCTATAAACGGTACCAGTCAAACGCTTGGACACGCCTTTTCCGTTCATTTTTAATAAGTGGGAATGTCCAAACGGCTGACTGGTGCCATATTCAAACATACATCAGCTTATACTATTATTTTTAATTAGAATATAGAATTATACATACATTCTTGTTATACTAAATTCCCTTTGCTAACTGGGAATTACAGCCATCACCTCCATTTCATCCTCCTCCTTTCCTTGTTGCTCCAAAGTGCACCTCGTCCCCCACCATCGCCACTCCGTCTTCACTTCATTAGACTACGACTTCTTCTCGCACGTACAGATTCACAGGGCAGGAGCACGCACCAGATAACACACCCACTCGACTCCCAACACAGACGAATATTTTCAAACCCATAAACCAAGCATTTTTTTGTCATTTGCTGAGAGCTTCCCCATGGCCTCTGATGTACTATAATAATAATAAATGTAATATATTTGGATGCCTTTGCTGTTAAACCGTAAACCGACAATAGTTTATAGCTATCTACACCTAGTTTATTAGCCAGCGTGTGTAGCTGATGTAAATCTGTGCATTTCTTCCTGTCATGGCCATGTTGTGAACATGGAGAAATGTGATGAGGGTGATGGTGAGAGGGACGCGAGGCTCACATCCGTCAAGCTGTCTTCACTTTAAGAAAGAACTCTGTGGAGGGTAGCTTCCAGGGGGAGAAGGTGGCGAACATTATTCTTTAAAGTTTGGATTTTGAGGAGGATGAGGATGTCAGACTCAGGATATCTGCATGTGAAATTAATGCAATGCAGCGTTTTTTGCCTGAAGTCAGAAAAAAAACGTGGTGATCCGAGAGCTGCAGACACCTACTGCAGATTTCTTTCTTGTAACTGTGAATCCGGAGGTCCAGTTGTGATTACGGTCAGAAGTTTAGCCGCTTGAGGTAAGAGGAGGGAGGGGGAGGTGAAGATCTATGCAGGCGGTTATCCATCTTTCTCCTACAGGTCCGGGATTTATGAAGTCTGCAGTTTTCTTCCATGAAAAGGCAGCGAGTGTTGGTTAATTGCCTGATGTGTGATGTGTGTGTGTGTGTGCGTGTGTGTGTGTGTGTGTATGCACGCGTGCCTCCTCCTCCGCTATGACACCTCGCTGCCAAACACTTCCAGCACCAGCGGGGTGAGCTGCATGCTGTGCTCCGGCTGGAAGGACAGCGAGCGGTACTGCTTGGAGTGCTCCTCGTTCAGGCTCCGCAGGTCGGCCAGCTTCTGGATCATCTTGGCGTAAAGGAGGCGTCCTCCCGGGTGGTTGACTCGGATGTAGGCCTGCAAGGCCTCGGACAGGCGGTCCTGGAGCAGCTCGATGCGGGCGTGGTCCTGGACGCCGGGGCGATCTGCAATGGGAGAACCAGGAGGGTGTAGGGGAGGGAGCCGGGAGAGGGACGAGTATGGGAAGGGACAGGGGAGCAGAGGAGGAAGAAGTTTAGGTGGGGAGGTGGGTGGATTGAAAAAAAAAAAAAAGAGAGAACACAGCAATCTTTTGCTCAAAGTTGTAAATAGCTGAAGTGTTCTCATAAACACTCCCTGATTTTTTTTTTTTTTTTTTTACAAGAAAAAGATGTTTCCTCACTTAAGAAAAAAAACTAAAACAGCATCGTTAAAGCTTAGAGGTTTAGAAAGTATCACTTCAAACCCACTGAGAATATTTGCACTTAGCACGGTGATCCAACCCTCCCACAAGATCTGTTACAAAAATGAATGCAGCGCTGTGTGAAAGCAAGTCTATCCACTCAAAAGAGGGAGAAGTGTATGAAAATGAGCGTTTCATACACTGTGGTTGGGCCTAAATAAGGAAACACATTGATGGATGGAGCATCTTAAGCGCGCGCAGCAATGCTGCCACTTTTAAGAATACTTTTCCAGCTATTTGTTTCGGAGATGAAAAACTCGTTATGATCACAGCACGTCTCCGTTTACATTTTTTCTGCTCGTTTCACACAGAAAAAACACAACATTTTCCAGGGAGGGCTTGTTCGTGTGTAAGTGGCAGCATCATCTGCCACATCTGTATGAAACTAGGTCAGAACGTAACTCAACACCCTGCTTTGGCGCCGAGATGTTAATATCCAGTAAAGCGGCGCAAACTCATCTGCATTCTCGGTTTTCACAACACGCTAAAGGGCACGAAGCCCGGCAGTACCTGGAGACAGCAGGCAGATGGCCATGAGCAGCACGTGTTCCTCCTCGTGTAGGTTGAGTTTCTTCAGACCGACTTGGAACTTCACCAGTGGCTCCAGCAGCTCCAGGGTGTGACCCGCTGCCGAGGACGACACAAACACGCTCTCAGTGCCACGGAGCCACTTACAGTTTATGACACTAATGTTGGAAAATATATATTGTGGGTGTCTGCGGAGTTATGAATAAAAACACAGTTTTAGGAGCAGAATCATTGCTCTCTGTGTGCGTGTTTATGCACTGTGGACAGAGGGCATTACTTCTGGCCCCGCATCTAAAAGTGAACAAGCCCAGTGTGTGTTTGCGGCTGCTTTGCTGTGTCCATGAAAATACCTGAAGTGAAAGCTCACAGTAAAGTGGACGAGTGCGTAGAAAAGCTGCATGTGTGTCGGCTTTGTGCCGCGCCGTTACATAACGGCAGGAGGAAAAGAAATGACATTTGTGTCAGTGACTTAAATTCGGCAGGATTTTTTTCTGGACTTGTTTGCACTTCTGCGCAGAGCGAATTAATCAGTGAGGAGTCTGATGCTGTGAATAAGACTGAAATATATTTATCCTTTATTTTCTTTTTTTTTTTTTCTATTCATTCTAATTGTTCCTGCGGCACTTTTTCTGCATTGAAATATCATTTTGATGTGAATCTAAAGCTGAGGTTTGAGTTATTTCTATGTGTTGAAAGTTAGAAGTGGGAGTAAATACAGCAAAATAAATGCTGACATGAAGCCACCAGCTGATTAAGTCCACTCGGGTGGGTCTGCACTAAAAAAAGACATCCAACCAACCCTTCGTGACGTCATTGATGCAGTATTTGAAGTCGGGTCCCCCGCAGCTCCAGGACATGTCCTCCAGGCTGAACGACTGGTTGGAGCGCAGCATGATGATCTCTATGGCGCTCGACTTCAACAGAGCAATCTGGTCTTCTGCTGTCAGCTCTCTGAAAAACAAACAGTGTTATCGTCTAAATGCATCTAAAGGTCCAAAGGTCTCAGAAAGATCATATCTGCCTTTATCCTTATTTTCTTTAATAGGAATGACAAATTCATTGTACTTTTTTAGTACGATTGATGCACAACTACATCACCTCCATAACTCGGAGCAAAGACATTAGAGTTTCTAACTGCAAATGCCTCCGCTGACTATTTCATGGTTCCTCTGATGATGTACGTCTAACATGAGATGATGCATCGTGCACGTCCTCGTGGGAGGCATGTCATCTCCATTATTTTCTCTCCATTTATTGTCCCCGAGTGCAGAAATTTCTAGTGCCACCTCTCAGCTCAGCGTGCATTTATAAAGCTTCTGGCTGTTCCAGTGCATTCTTGGAAGTGCTTGTTTTTTTTCCCCATCTCACCCATTAATGTCCTGCGCTCATGAAGGCAGAAAATAATTGTGTACTGTGTCTACCTGCTACCGGTTAGATGCGGCAGGTTACCAGTTGGTAAGATGCAACCACAGCCCGAGAAGACAAAGCACAAGCGCATGCTGTTCAACACTGTTCAACATGGGCTTTTCTTTTTGATTATGAGCTCAGAAAATGAATCCCTCCTCACAGTAGCTGCAGATTTATTCATCCTCCCCGTCGCCTAAAAGCTTGAGCTTAAAGTTCAATTTGATCATCTCTGATGCATCCTGACAAACAACAGTGGAGCTCTCACGGTGGGCTTTCTACAGCCATCGCAACCCACCACAATGCTCTTCATACCTGAAGCCTGGGATCATCTTGGCAAAGCCGATGACTTTCTGGATGCTGTAAGACACCAGGTCAGCCAGGTGGGGCAGCATGGAGAGCTTAGTGTCCTCCTCGCTGGAGTCCGGGCTGCTTGCGCCATCCTGGTACATCATCAACAGGTTGCTGAAGTTCATCTTGGTGTCGACCGACTCTGATTGAGGGAGAGATTGGAGACGAGATGTGTGAGGGAGGTGGAAATGAAATGGGTATGGGGTCGCGACAGATCCTGATTAAACCGATAAACTGATGACGGAAATGGCAAGGTGCCAGTCAGAGGGTTGTTAGAACACAACACAAAGCAGTTCCAAAATCATTAAAATATATATATATATATAAGAAATACAAAAAAGCCCTACAGTTTAGATCAGGAGTCTTATGAGAACTTCAGGTAAAAAATTAAACCAACACCAAAGATTCAGATGTCCAACAGAAGTTGTCCATCACCACATTTCTCATAATAGTGATACAGAACAGGGCTTACTGATAAAAACATCCAAACCTTGGCAATTATCTTTTTTTAAATCAATTAAAATGTCTTTTTCTTTTATATTAGACAGATTTTGCTTCATAAATTGCACATTCACATCAATACTGGAGTAATAATGTAGTTATCCCTGTGTCCTTGTTACATTCAAACTATAACCATGAGTTAGTACAGAAGAAGAAGATCTCATTCATCTCACCGGGAGAGTGGTTGAATGAATCGGAGGAGGCGTCAGACAAAGAGTGAAGAGAGGCAGCTCTGCTGGCACTGCGTGTTACTGGACCTTCACGCACTGGAGGCTGCGGACACAGAAAAAACATTGGTGCCCGTATGAGTATAAGAATAACAGGCGTTCACATAATACCATGTCCTCACCACACGCCAGTGGCCCCGTCCACATGAGTAGGGGTCCTGGAAGCGCTTTTCTATTTTCCAGCTAAATCTGAGATCCTAGTTCTCGAGTGTTTGGAAGCTTGGGCACATGATTGATAGAGTGTGCTGAAAATATGTTGCAGTGAGCAGGTTATATGAGTGTAGTGCGAGGTCTGCCAGGAGCTCCCAAGCTTTGCTGCAACTCTGTAAAGCCAGTGAGTGTTGTTGGCTTTTCCTTTTGTTTATTTAGATAATGACGAATATGAGATATGAAAAATTATGTTTGCATTGTGGCAGCTCATTGGCAGGGTTCTATTCTATACTTTTATACAGATGTTCAAGACTACTTTTCAACCATTCTTCAGTTTCGATACAGATTGATACCAATGGCATCTATCGTTGTTGTCATTTATTTTGTTCGTCTTTTTAGGGATTTGGCTTGAAAAGTTACTGCATTATTGAGGTTTGATTGATGCAAAACAGAATGAGGTGATTGGACCAGTTTTAACGGCGGTTACAGGTCTGCACTTACCCGAAAGCGTGAGAAGTCGGAGTAGGAGGCATCGTAGGTCTTGTGATGAGCTTCGACCAGGGAGGAGATCATCCGGGCCTGCTCCTCGTTCAGCCGCGGCCTCATGGCTTCGCGGGCTGCCTCCTCCTCCTTCCTCTTTAGGATCATTTCCTTTTTCCTTTGAACCTCCTCATCTGTCAGTATGACTGTAAGAAGAAAATGAAGGATGGACTCAGTGTTTCACAAAAACAAATCCCCAGTACAGGCATATTCAGTTACCCATTCCCAAAGCAGCCCCAGCAAAAGGGAAGCACTGAAGTGTTTGCCTAAATGGTTAAGCAGAAAAAAGACTGAACACAGTATCAGGCAACTTTTGACTATTAGCAACCATCAAGGAAAGCAAAAAATAAAAAGAAATTCATCATTGTGACGGGGGGGCAGCTACTGTTTTGTTCTGGTCCATCACATTTAGAACTAAAACTTATACACTAATAAATCTATGATGTTTTCAGACATCTCTGTACTTCAACCAAAAATGTATTTAAATGATGAAAAACCTAAAAGCTATCAGAGGGCAAAGGCTGCTGTACTCTGTCATTTATGGCAATGGGGGGGGGGGGGTTCTCTTGGTACTTTGTGCCAATCAAATTTGTCCTAAGAGTCCAGGTTGGCAGCTCACCTCTGCGCCCGTTATAGTTTGTGCTGGTCCAGATTCTCAAACAGGTCAACTTCTTCCTAATAGCTTGACAAAGGGCAACTGAAATTCTTTTTCCCAGCGTTTGAGCACATTTAGTCTCTGAAGGCTTTCTGAAAGACGAGACGTGTAAGCTGAGGAGAGAGGGAAAGTCCAAGGTATGCTCGATGTTGGTGGTTGGGGCTTGCTCTTTAGCGAGCACTAGCTGAGACGGGTGGCTCATTTGTTAGAACTTACAGCTCTTTGCTTGTACCCTGAAACAGGGCCAGGCTGTACTTTCACTCTCCTTCGTTTTAAGATGCTGCACCCAGTGTTCAATTCAAACTGCCATTGTAGACGGCTCAGGGCAGGTTTTTATGGGGGTGTATGGCAGCTATAAGCTGATAGTTGATGTTACTTATGTTTAGCGCACTAAAAACCTTTGTAATGTATTACTTCACATCTCATCAAAACAAATTGTTTGTTACATTTGTTACAAAATGTTTGAGACACATTCGAGACCCTAGCTTTGAACTTTTTCCTGAGAATTTACTGTGGAAAACCTGCACTTAAAATATCTGGAAAGTAAGGTTTTATTCTACGATAAAAGGAAACAACAAAAAAATGACCCATTTCGGTGTTATCTTTTACCCATTGTAGAAAAACACAGGTGAAAATAATGGAAACACTGTGAGAAAGTCTGCTATGACCATCTGAGATCTGAGGGGCTCCATGTACTGTATGTTCTGACCCCTGAATACTTTGGCCTATATTAATCCCTTGACTCTTTGCCACAGTAAACGATTATCCATGAGGTGCTCAACTATGCAGAAAGACAGACAGCCGGCATGACTGCCAGACGGACTTGGACTGCCAAGAAGAGACCGTCTGGTATGGCCCAAACTCAGACCGCTGGGGTTACCAAAGAATTAAGTAAACAACAACAAAAAAAAAGATTTGGTGACAAATCCGACATTCTGGCAGCTGTAGACAAACATCCTCACATAATAGGTTTCAAGTGACAAACTGAGGGACAAGCGGCCCGTTAACTCGAATCATAGCATCATGTAAACACGGGAAAGACAGAGTCCACAGCAGGTCTGCGTCGGGCGGCCTCAGACTCGATTCCCCTCCCCGTGCACGTACGCTGGGACGAGCCAGTCGTCCATTAGAAGCTGTAGCCTGGATGTCTCAAAAAAAGAAAAAAATTGAAAAAAAAGAAAAAAAGACAAGTAGGCTACTAAGTGGCTGTTTGTAATAATTACAGCAACTCCACCAGCAGCGGACGCCTGGAGACGACAAACAACTGTATCTGGAGAGGATTTCAGTGAACTACTGAAGTGATGTTACATAAGCATAATATGGGATTCTGCAGGCAACAACAACTGCAGGCTTTAAAAGGCAGCTGAATAAATTTCTTGTTGGCTAACCAGGATCTGGCATTCATTTTTTATTCGAACCCAATGTCATTAATTAGGCTTTGGCTGAACTCCAGCGTCCATCTAGGCCCGAGCCAGAAAAAGACTGTTGAGAGCCACTCCTTGTGATGAGGACATCCAAACATGCAGGGTATAATCATGAATAGGCAGAGTTTGGTCAAAGTTTGGCACAAGCCGTCAAAGCAGCCATTCCAAGGCGGATTGAATGCGTTCGCTTTCAGCCAAGTCTGAGCACTGGATGGCATCAGTGAGGAAGAGGTCTGGAAAAAGAGGGGAAAAAAAGGCCATCAAAGGAACATCTTGACCACCCTGCAGCATTTGGCAAACGGGCCAGAAGACTGATTGGATGTGATGCGGTGACTGGCATGGCACAGAGGAACCAGGAGAGAAAGAAAGAAAGAAAGAAAAAGTAAAAAAGGCAAACACTTAGTTGGAATTAATTATACAAAATAACAAAACGTGGCTTTGGTCAACACACCTACTGCCAGAGGCTGGCACAGTGGGGAAACACAGAGCCCCCTGAGGACCGGCCCGTTAGGCACAATGGAGACTCCGGTTAGGTGTGATGTATGTCGAGCAACATCGAGCGTGCGCCAGCATTTTCTCACTAATGCCCGAAGCATGCGATTGAAGCGGGTAGAATTCAGGTCAGTCAGGCCTCCAGGCACCTACACATCCCGAGTGTGACGCAGAAACCGCTTATCGAAAGATCAGAATGGAGCACATATAGTCACAGGAAGCAGTGGGAAATAACAGACTGTACTCAATCTACTAACAACGTAAAAAAAAAAAGAGAACAAAGTGCTCTTGTTTGTGTGGGCTTTAATCTAACCACTCGTGTGCCTGTGTTTGTCATCTACGAGCACATCAGGATTCCCCGTCTGCATTGAATCCGAGGATTAAGACACTCATAAAACAGATATGCTGCATTACGAGTGGATGGAGCGACACCAGGAGACCGTGCCTTTGAATTTTGACCCATACTGTAAAACATTTTCAAAGATTTTTTTCAATGAATCTACAGCTGGTAATACGCAGGAAAGGTTGTCAGGGTGACAAAGTAAAAAGGCTCCTCGGGATGAAGAATTAAGGAGCCACTTCAAGGACTTTGCTTCAGAAAGAAACAGCGTGAGCATTCAATCATCCAAGAGCTAAAACGTTTCAAAAACTCTCCTGTGATTCTAATCCTGTTACAAATAAACCCCCGCTCAGTCATACAGAGCAACACAAAGATCACAAGCATGAAAACACACACACACACACACACACACACAAACACGGAGGTCTTTTCCAGGCACCTCTCTAACCTGTTAAAAAAAAAGGGGGAAAAAAGGCAGAGTGTTTACAACAAGCTCAGCTGGCAAAGCTCACAGAGGGCGCAGATCAGATTATCTGAATAGTGACCTGGCTTAACTAAAACTAACAAAGTAAAAAAAATAATAATAGTAGAAAACGGAAAGAAAAAACTAAAAGCTAGAAGCTAAAATGTGCATCTATTTGACCAAAGACAAAATAATACATAATAGTCTATTCAACTCCTCCAAGAATCAAGAAATATGAACCTGATCAATATTTGGAGGAGGAAATCACTCAAACAAAAGCATCCTTCTATCTAGAAAACCGCAGTGTGTTCTTTTGTGTGGAGCCGCCTCACAGGGATGATACGTGCACCCACTCTGCGGTACGCATCTGCACTGAGCCTGTTCTCGATACGTTTTACAGCGGGTTTATTTCTGGGTCAAAGCTGCAAACCTAGAAAACAGGACCTAGTACAGACACATTTACATGCCGAATACAAGCCAGCATATGGTAATTTTACCACAGTCATCGTATAGACTGAGATGCTGGAAGGGTCAGGGGGAAAATACAACAGCTAAAGGACCAAGAATATGACTGCATGCCTCTCCTCTGGATTGGAGCTGTCTCGTGTACCATCTAATAAACAAAGAACTGTTTCTTTCCATCTTGAGCGACCTTCCCTTTAATTCATTTTCCGATTACAAATAGAGATTCCATGGTGGTGAGGTCACAAGGACACATGATAACATCGTCAATAAAAGGACATTTCGACTCTCTTGAACCTCTTCTGGACAAAGAGACCAATTAGACCAGCTATCCTCACTGACCATTTCCCATTTCTCCTCTCATTCAGCAATGCGTATACGGGCCCTTCTTGACAGACCGATGACTATTGCTTTCCATTAGTTACAATCATCTGAAAGAGCTTTGCTATTCCTGTCCAATTGTAATGAATTCTTTCCTATAAATCTGAAGTTTCCTTCAAAGAGTTCTGATGTAGTCAGGGTTTAGGAAGAGACAATGTTTTGGTCGTTTCCTATACGTGTCAGCTTCTCATCACTCCATTTTCTGATGCACTAAAAGGCCTCATTTTAAAAGGTTGAACTAAAATGATGCATTTGAAGTTCAACCTTTAAAGAACGGGTTTACAATTCCTCAAATGATTCTGAAGGTGGAGAAAATTCCATCTGGAAATAAAATATGCTGTAAAAACTCCCAAACCGAGAAAGCCGAGCAGCTGTAGCTCGGTGAAGTGTAATCCAGGCTTCTTTCTCCCCAATCAACCTGTATACCAGCTGTGGTGAACAAAGAGAGCATTTTATACAGATAAGAGCCTCTCTTTGCCTTCTTTCCCTCCCTCCCCATCTTCCTCAATCAATCACGAATACTCCAGTTCAATATGGCTATTTGTGGTCGACAAAGTGATTATCATTAATCTAAACCCATCTCTGTTTCACAAAGACAAACACACAGGCAGTTTGTTCTGGGTGTGTGAGTGAAATGGCTGTAACACAATTGTGTGTCTATGAAGAAGAGGAGTCATTGTTAAAGGTCTTTAACTTCCTTCCGCTTGCTGCTGTTCTGCTGATGCTGTGCTGATAAATCTCACTGGTGTGTTTTGTTGCTTTGGTGTTAAATTCACACACACTTATTTGCTGGTGTTGCCTTGAACAAACTGCGAAAGTTTGCGATAAAATGCTGAATTTGGATATTATTTATCCAACGCGAAGTAAAGACGGCCGTCTCTGTTGGTGGTTATAAATCAGTGGTGACAATGTGTCGGAAAGGGGTGAGGTCTCACTCTCCCCTCGTGCTGCCTCCCTGTTCTTGTGTTACAGCCACACCTGGCGCCGCATGCATAACCACAATGCTAAAGTGTAAAATCAAGTTAAACTTTGCTTCAAAATGCTATTTCAGTTCTGACTGACAGCACTGGTGTAAACACTCATCTGTTTAGTTTAAAAGCAGGAGGAAAAACTCATCATTTGCATCTCCTGTATGACCCCAGACTTAGCTGGCCATATGGCACCAGCGACCTTCTGCATATGCATTGTAAACGCCATTCTCGCTCTCCTTTCTACAAATCAGATCGGTTTTCACTAAACCATTGATCCTACCGCCTCCTGTTCCCTTCCGAATGTCTTTAAGTGTTAGATTACAGCCCAGGTTACCGCTCACAAAGTCAGAGTGACACCCAGATGAGCGGTGTTTAACTTTGGGGTTCTTACATTTTGGTTATATCGAGTCTTGAGCGAGTGGGTTTGGTTTGGACCTTTACTGCCTGAAAATGAACAACCCCAAACATAAAAGAAGTGTCATGCAGAGATGAAATGGAAACGCGTCATCTGTTACATTTCTAGACGTCAGGTCGGCTGTTTGGATAATTCCACTCATGCTGCCAAAGTTTCCTCAGATCTGGAAGCTCGTGTTATTTTAATCCCGCTGCTCCAAAGAATGGGTGGTGTCAGAAATCCTTCTCAGTTTTCGAGTGGCCCCGTAAGCGTCCATTGAGGTTAAAGCTGGTGACTGTGAAAGACGGTCCATGACAGAAAGTCCACCTCAGTCTTCCAGGACTTTTTGAACCTTTGAATGGGTGCGGGAACATTATCCTTCTGAAGTAGCAATCCTTCTCCAAAAGGACAATGTAAAAGGTGGAGGATAGCTCTGAAGAATGAGGAGCGCTTCTCCTTAGTTGGGTGGAGTCCATTCAGGAGGCCGAACACTCATAACCACCATCAGGTTTCAGTGTGGGCTGGACACCGATCTGCTTTGGACTGCTGAAGATCTAAAACTTTGTTTAAGTTCATTTGTGAAAACACAGCTGCTGAGCAGCTCTTGTTTGATTATCGTCTTCATGCTTGTGATAATTGTTTTCCGTTTCTCAGCGAACGCTTAAGAAGACAAGAAGAGACATGCAGTCCATTCGCCTGATCAAGGTACCTGCTGGCCGGTCAGATCCACTTTACAACGGCTCAATGTGCACTGAATAAAAGAAGTCCATGAAATGAGGTGTTGAAACAAGGTAGAATCTACTCACCCGACTCATTAAAAAGTGTGACCAGTGTTTAATTTAGCTGACCATCTGTGTGAGAGCATACTTAAACTACGACACAAAGTCAGAATTCTGAGGCTGGCCCAGCGACAGCCGTGAAAGAGGAACCAGAAACGTACGCAGATGGCCTCGTATTTCCATCTCCCGCTGTGCTCTGAACGCATCGGAAACATTTTTTGAATGTCGGAGGCTAGAAGAGGTCAACTCACACTCTTTCATCATGCCGATGTCAATGCAGCGTTTGAGCCGGCAGGCCTGGCAGTGACGGCGGTTGTCTTTAGTGATGGTGCAGCTCCCGTTGAACGGGCAGGTGAAGGAGGCTTTACGTTTCATGCTGCGCCTGCAGGGGAAGGAAAAGCAGTCAAGCTACATCTGGATTTAAATATCTAAGCCATCTACAACTTCATTTTCTTCACATTATGATTTTTTATTTTTATTTTAAAGTGACCATAAACAACAAATCCAATTTAGGAGCACCTGCAAACTGACACAGGGAAGAGAAAGCAAAAAAAGAAAACGGGTTGCAGAAACACTGGCAGGGTCACAGAATTGTGCAGCGACTGTAAAGAAGCGTGTTTATGGGTAGATGCGCGCGCGTGTGTGTGTGTGTGTGTGTGTGTGTGTGTGTGTGTGTGTGAGAGCGTAAACATGCTAGACGAGCTGCGTGGGTTTCACACAGATGCTCATTTATGTGTGCAGAGGGGGCCACCGCTGCCACCCCGGAGCACAGAACCCAGGCAGACAACCCACAGAAACAAGGCCCCCCAGCAAAGGTGTGGGAACGAAATAGCCCGGTGCAAACCCGAATAAAAGTTCAATAATAATGCTCTGTGCTGTGAGACTGCAGCAGCAGGAATATTAGCTTACCATCGAATTCATTCATTAAAGATGCACGAATTCAAATGAAAAGTTGGATAAACAACTCTTTGACAAACATGGAAGCGATGTTAGCAGATGGTGTAAAGCGGAGGAGGGGGAGCGCACCTGAAGAAGCCCTTGCATCCCTCGCAGGTCATGGCGTTGAAGTGGAAGCCGGTGGCTTTGTCGCCGCACACGCCGCAGATCCGCGGGGCGTTGCGGTCGAACTCGTCCGGCCCGACCACTGACGTCGTCACCGTCATGGGCTCCATCACTGGGGAGAAGGAGAGGCAAGGGTCAACCTTTGCTCGGAGAAGAGATATGAAAGAGTTGTAACATGCAGACAAACTGCTTCGAGGCTAAAAAGAACGTTAAAAAATAAAGCGGCTCGTGTGCCAGAAACCTGTGTGGGAGTTGTTCAGAGCGAGCTCTGAGAGAAACTGTGCCATTTCGCTTCTTATACAAACAGGTGTTAGCTTATTAGCATATTAAGCAAAAGGCATTGACAGTCACACTCTGAATCTTGCAGCTATTGGCTGAATGAGTCAGAGAGAGGTACACACACTTAGACACACGTACGCGCACACAAATCTAATCTACAAACTGTGAAATGACAGCGTTTGCTGCGAAATGCTGTGAAATGGCCGATGTGTGTAATACTGCCAGTTCTTTCTCTTTTTTTTTTCCACACATTCACCATCTGGCCATCTGCTGTGAAATAAACAGCAGAATAACACACGGACTGGAAACTGTGAGCCAACTAATCCATAGCCGTCTTTTTCCAGGAGCACCTATGTCTGAAGTTTTACTGAGGACAGGAAGATCCTTAAAGAAGCAGAAAAGGATTAAATTATTATTTCAAAGGGGCAGATGGAAACATGGGAAATATGCAGATCTGGTTATTTTAGCTGCTCGAACTTGTTCAGTATTACGGGCTGCAAGTCAAAGCGTGGCTCCAAATTTAGTTAGTCAGTTTGAGTTAAATATCAAGGCGAAGGTAAATAAAGGGGAGCATGAGTTTCGAAATGGTTCCTTCGCTGACCTGAGCTTTTACAAAAGGCAGAAAACTGAACTAAAGCTTCCTTACTCTTCTTTACTTGCACCTTGTTGGCCTAACAACATCTTAGCCGAACAACAACGGGATGCCAAACACAGCCAACCTGGCTGATGCCCGCATGTAAAAACACAAAGAATCCACTATGAGGCTGCGGCTTTGGAAACCCGAGCCCGATGCCACCTGTGCCCTCGCATTCCCATCAGCCGGACCCCTCTGCGTTTCTGTCGGAGTGAGATCAGGAAAAATCAGCGGGAATCCACAGAGGGGTGAGGGCCGGCGTGCCTCAAAGGCCCGGCGCTCTGTTCCTCCACGCCGCTGCCTGCCGTGTCCGCAAAGCTGTGTGGGAGATTCCCACGCCGCCATCTTTCATCTTACCCACTCAAACACACCAGAACGGCGTCGAGTTTTAAAATACCACCTCTTATTGGTCCGAGGTTTTTTTTTTACTTTTCAGAAATGAGACAAAAATCAAAGCGAGCATTTAAAAGAGAAGGTAACAAATCAGGAAACTGGGAAAGAGGACGGCTTACAACCATTTCTAAAAATGTAGAAATCTTTTTCTTTTTTTTGCAGTCGTTCAAGCTAAAAATGAAAACATTCTCTTCCCGTTTTATGCCGTTCGGATCCATCGAATTCAGCGAAAAGAATTTGAAAGAGTTAAAGTGTGAGCTCATTTGATAGGGAGACAATGAAACGAGCTCAGCAGCCGTCAGGTGGCTGCAGAATATAGCCGGCGTGCTCGAAAAGGATTCAAATGATGTCAAACGAGGACAAAGAAGGAGGAACCGATGCCTGGAAGTAAGGTCAAGACAGAACAAAGAAGATGAAAAGAGGCGAGTGTGTGAGTATGTGAGGGCTGCAGAAAGTATACACCCCGGCCGACGCCCTGCTCACTCATTCACAAACCTAATCTATGGCGGAAACCCCCCCCCCCCCGGAGCAGCCCGCTTTGGCCCTCTCATTTACAGTCTGCGTGTTGAACGCTGGGCCTGAGCCGGCAGGACGGCCTCAATTAGGCACCATTTGTCGAAAACAGCTTTGTTTACTGGTGTGGCAGCAGGTGAATAATGAAACGAAGGGGGGAGAGGGGGTGTGGGGGGCGGCGGGGCACGAGGGGACACAGGGTGTCAAACGTCTCAACGCATCCGTTACAAAAACACAACAACAAGCTGCGGTTTCATTAATGCTGCTGATTAACGCCGGGGAAAAAGCTAAAAGCCGGACATGATTCACAGGTAGTGAAAGGAGGGAGGACTTTCAGCCATTAAAGGCACCTCTCCGGGCTGGTTACAGAGTTAAATCATCTTTTAAAAGACGGCAAACGGTACATGTGACGTTTCTGTCCAAACACACTGAACTGTGTGCAGAGAGACACACGAGAGCTGAAATCTGTGTGAGGATACTGAGAAATACCAAAATATTCAAGAAATTACAGTGGTCTATTTTTATTACTGGAGGCATGAGTCATTTTCCATCTGGAAAATTAAGCTCATTTATTCAACGCAGTCACTGTTTTAAATTGAATTTATCTTTTTGTTCTGCTGAACAGCTCTATCCTGCACAAAGATGATCGATCAGTGAGATAATGGACTCTTTTTAAAGGAGCATTCGGTTGAAAACTGATTTACTGGAAAAGGAAGTTAATTAATTAAGAGTTTGGTGGTCGAACTTTCGAGTAAGGACATGACAAGATTTAATTTCAAATTAGAACAAAAACTTCCTCTTTGGACCAGATTTGTCTCTAATCAATCAATTCAGCTTTGAATCAGAATTTAAGTTCACTCCCCTGATATTGAAATAAAAAGCAGAATATTACGGATCATTTATTATGCTAAATCCCCAAAGGATCCAAATATTGAGAGTACATTTGAATATTTGAGGTTTGTGGCACTCATTTGCTTTAATTCTGTTCAACATCATAAAGCCCATTAGAATATGTAGAAGCCCAATCCCGGGGAGGAAAACTAGTTAGAGTCAGCCCTGAAAGACAGCTTTCGAGATCAACATTATTCTAGGAAGTTTGGCATCCGGCGCTGAAAATCGGCCACGAAGTCCGACGTCAATATGCATAAAAAAATATGGGCGAACCTGTTGAGGAGCAGCTGTCAAACAACAGCAGCTGGAAGAGGAGCGGGCTATTCCCGGCCGTTTGCTCATAGCAACAACAGAACTCTCAGAAAGGGCTTTTCACTCTGCTCATCAACAGACAAACCCAAAGATACCAGATAGCGTTCACATCGAATGTGGCCAAAATCACGTCTTGCTGAGCAGGAAATGACCTCACAGTCATCGCCGCAGTCCTTCACAAGTCTACAAGGAGTGTGAAGATTGCCGTTTTGTCACTTTCAGGCTGTTTTTCCTCTTTTCTCTTTGTGCTCCAGCCCCGTCCATATCTCTCTGAGGTCAGACTACCATTGTATTTGCCTCCATGTGTCCCAACCATTCCCAAAAAAATAAATTCAGTTGCACAGTGCATGAAAAGTAGATTTCTTTGGGACCAAACCGCTGTCCCCATGGTAACAAAGAGATGCTGGGAAGTGATGCTGAGGCTCGAGTTTAGGGAACACACAGCCACACAATGAGGACTTTCCCAGGGGGACGTGTGGGAGCGTGCGCGGGGACTTTTCATAAGTGGAACACGTCGATGTATCGATTAACCCGTGCCAGCAGATATCCACATCTGACCGTTGTGTCACTCAGGCAACAGGCACGAGGCTTCGTGTGCACTTTTTCCACAATCCGAGATGGAGAGCGGCCTAAAAAACAAAAACAAAATCTAAACTGTTTGACTGGTGCCTTCCAGGACGGGTTTAACACGTTGGAAGAGAACAGCGAGCACACGGAGCACCACATCAGCTCCGTGTTGTGAAGCTGGATGGCCGATTTACTGCCGCTGGTTAAGATATTTTTAGATCCAAATGAGACCCGTTTCTGTAACCTAGATCCATTTGCATAATGAAACGCTTTGTCTGAGATGTGACACCATTCCAAAAGCAGTTTGGATCATGGACAGAAAGGACAACTCAATCCTAAAACCGACCAGAGAAACAAGAAGACGGGGGGATATTATGGCACAGGGGTTAGGTTTTTTTTTGGCCATTCACCCACTGACATGTTCCCTAAATTTACAAGGACTTGTCACCTAAAGTTCAAACGTTTGTGCCATGAATGAACCTTCGTAACAACATTAATGGGATGTGACCCGGGCCTCATTTGTCCCTTGGTTAGTTGGTGGAATGTTCCTAAACCGAAGACCAGAGTTCGTACCACTGAAGGAGAGCGCGGGAATCCTTCAGATAAGCACACAAAACACCACCAGCTGCTCCATTGATTCCCCCGACCTTTGACCTTCCACTCGAGGTGGTAAGACAACAGGTTCATTTCTCATCAGACATCAATGGCGGATTGAAAGAAGATCCCTGTTGTTCAAATCTGCGACACATTCAGAAGCGTGCACCAACACGGCTGGACAACTGCCCACATCAACATCCAAAGACTACAGTTTTACTGAGCTGCCATCACTCTCATGCACACGTCTAGGAGGCAAAAGGGATGCTGGGTAGTCCTGGAAAAGTAGGACCACTTTCTTCTGAGTAGACGCTACTGAGATGGGAGATACGTTGGGAGAATAGAAAGATTACATCATACAATCTGTGTGCAAGTTCTCCCCCAGGACTTTAATAATACCAATATGAGGAGCCATCCTCAATCTAATAAAACACCTGCAACCAACAACTGATGAGCTGCTGCAAACTTTGTCCACCATCTCAAAGAGGAAAGAGGGTCAGTACAGTAATGGCGACTTGCATAAGATTAGCTTTATTGGACAATTTTAAAAAATGTCAAATTCAGATATGAAATACTGCAGTGACTATTCACCAGTACTCAGCGCGTCCAGTCCATGACTTTTATTCCTCTAAGAGCTCCAGGTTAGACAGGCCAATGTAGCAATATTTTTTATTTTTTATTTAAAAAAAAAATAATAATAAAAGTTGTCATTGCTTGATTTACAAAACATTCAATTGCAGCAACAAAAACACAAAGGAGGATAAGATGTGGAATCAGCAGTAAGAGAAAAGAACATATTTTTGTCTGCGGCCCCTTATCTGAAGAGATAACCTCCACATGTGGAAGTTATCTTGCTGACTCGGACTCCAACTTGTGTGGACTGTGCAGAAAGCGTCAGTGACCCGAGTCAGGAGTCCACATCACACGGCATCGGTAAACACAAAGGGCGCCGACCTCACGGGTTCATACGTTTTGTGAAATGTTTTTGATCAAATCATTTTTTTCAGAACACAAACGTGTTCTTTGTCTGTTTTCTTGAAAAACCCTTTAGACCCGTCAAACTACATGTCCAGAGTCACTCATCAAACCAGGAAAGATCTCCAATACGATCAGGGCTGCTGTCCTGCGAGTTTTAAAAGTTTTACTGCTTAAATCCACCTGATTCTGATTCAATTTGTCTTTTTAAATCTCTGCACAAGCCTGCTAATGTCTTATTGATGCTAATCAGGTGTGTTAAAGAAGAGAAATTGATAAAAGGACAGCTGCACTCTGGGACTAACTTTGAACTCACATGATTGACTCAAAACCAAAGTGTAAGATAAAAATGCACGTATTTACTTCTAAATCTAAAACAAGGAGAAAAAGACGATCGAAAAAACTCTGCTCAACCAGAAAAAAAAAAAAGACTAAATTGTTGTGCGTCGCACCCTGGGACACAAACACTAGGGCCCAACACAAACATTAACACTCTCAAAAGTTAGTGCCCCTCACTTCAACCGGTTTGGACAAATCCTTCAAAAACAAACACTCGCTCTCATGTCATCAAACCTGCCCACGTTAAGATGAAAATAAATGGACGGATGGAGCATCTGGAAGCGTGCATTTGGTTTCACATTTGTGCTTCCTTCCCGTTTCTGTGCGTTCCTTCTAAATGTTTCGGCTTCCTCCGCAGAGAACGTTTGACTGGTGATTCTGAATTAGCCATTTGAATGAATGTCTGTCTTTTTGTGTTAGTTTTGGTATGAACTGGCCCACTGCCTGGTCAGCTATGTCCCAACCCACTACTCTGCCCCCCCCCCCCCCACGGAAGAAAAACCAGAGCAGTGCTTAATCTTTCTTACATGCACCCTCTCACCAGCAGGAAAAGTGCTTGAGATGCTGCTAATTGTAGGTATGTTGTGCCAGTATGCACAACTCAGTGGGAGGCTGTTTTAAACAAACAGCATAATAACAGGGGCTGAAGGAAGCAAAGCTGGGATAAATACAGGAGGCCACTCGGCTCTCCCTTTTTTTTTTCTTCAGGTTGATGAACACAAATATTGCGATAGAAAAAAAAAAAAAAAGAAACATTTCTG